ACGTGATCAATGGGGTAGTAGTGATCTTTTAAGGTTAATGTTACAATTCCTCAAATGCTACAAAATAAAACGCTATAAAATGTATTGAAAAGCTGAAAACTTCTACTGAATATTATTCAATCAGGAACGAAGAAAATACAGGAAAGCTAGACTGTTTAAGAAATTCTATTCGAGATGAGTATTATGTCCAGACCAAAAGTAGTCCTTGAATAAGATGATGAAGGATTGATTGAGGGTTTTAACATAGTGATATGTAAGCCTCATGGTGTCAATGAAACTCACATACCGTTCCATCCCAAGAAGTGTCCCCATCAAGGATGGAGTATCGTTTCAATTATGTGCCCCAGACAAAAATCAAACCCGGGAATTTCAGCATTTAGTTTCGACACGCTACCACTATACCACATTGTCAGAGACGCTAATGAACCACAGAGCAACGTGATTTAACTAAAAGTTATGCCATCTGGTATGGTAAAAAACGGAGAGATGGAAGAGTGGTTGAAAAGGATTGGCTATAAGGTTAGATAACGTTTTCAGATTCAGAAACCACATTTCTGACATTTTGAAAGTGCTGTGGCCAAAATGGTAGCATTAGAAGGCAGTAGCAAGTGTTTTTTTCATGATTAATGTTACTATTTATGTATAGGCATAAAATAAAAGGATCTCAAAGGTTTTGGAAAGCTGGAAACTTCATCACGGTAGTGCACAATAAGGAACGGGGAAAAAACAGAAATAATAACGTGTTGAACAAATGAATTTTGGCATTCACAAAATGTCTTGTAATGCGATATGTAAAATGTATTAGGAAACCCAAGGTGGGATGAAAATTAAGTGATATACCTTCAGATGGATTGTTGAACTTATTAAAGTCTTCACAATATTTTGATTAAGAATTCTATAAAAAATACCTCAGAATTTTAAAGAAATCGGATTTTGGAGTAAAAATGATCCAACTCAAGAAAAAAACTGTGAGAATAAATAAAGTAAATATGCTATGCTAGAGAAAATAAAGTACTGGAAATGACTAACATGGGAAAAAAATTTGTCTCACTTAAATGAAAATGCCCTTCAAAACAAAGGCTACGAGAGAGATAAATTTACGGATAATGGATCTCCTGCAGAACCTCGTTTTGTGTCAGAAGAAGCATTGAGTATTGCTTGTAAATGATAATTTGTCCAATTAGGGAGCTTACATCAGACACTTTAGGCCCATATCTTAAATAAAGTCCCAATAGTTCTAAATTTAAAGAAAATTTGCACATGGCCCTAATTGAAGTTTGACTATCAGCTTATAATTACCTCGACAGGGAGTACAGAGTAGCGATAGAAATCCCGCAGGCGATCAACTAGTCCATCCCGCCCAAACACGGCGTATAGAAGGAAGTCTCGTGGCAGTAAATACCAATCGGAGCCCGAGGCGAGCACAAGGCCACGAGGTAGAGGTCGGTTACCAAGGCGAAAGAGATGAGCATCACATTCATAGAAAGCCTGGTCGATTGCCTGGCCACGCAGAAACTGGCTGCCGACCAGTAAGAACGGTCAATCAAAGACAGGTGAAAAAAAAGTTTATTCCGAATAAGCATGCTTATATAAAAGCAAGTTTAGCTCGAATGTGGATGCAGAGAGTTCGCGAAGTATGCATACGAACAATCCGAATCCATAACGGCTGAAAAATTCCAAAATAAATCCCCTAAACTACGTTTATTAATAGCAATTTTGTAAAAAGTAAGTTTCGAAACTATTAGTAAATCCTGAATAAGAGTTCCGGTCGCCATAGGCCGCATCGGATGATGAATTTTCCCACAATGATTTTAATAGACCTCATAGTTACTACTGAATGCAAATGCAAGTAACGTGGTATATTATAATGGCAAAATACAAGTTTGTAGCAAAGATCAGTGGTTCCCAAACTTTTCCTAGTCGCGGTGCCCTACCCTAAGTATGACTATTCGTCAGTAAGAGATAAAAATAAATAAAACTCGTGTATCTTCATTATTTTTTTATACTTTTATTGACATTAAATTAATATTTAATAATTAATGTGATGGATGAGTCTGCAAATCACTGCACATTTTCTCAAATTG